GTTCCACTGGTCCTCAGGTCTGTTTCTTTGCCAGTACCATGGTGTGTATATCACAGTGGCTTTGTAGTATAGTTTCAAGTTGGGGATTGTGATACCCTCTGCCTTGTCTTTATTGTCTAGAATTTCTTTTGCTATTCTAGATCTCTTCTTGTTCCAAATGAATTTTTGGATTGTTTTCTCAAGGTTGGTGAAGTATGCTGCTGGGATTTCAATTGGGATTGCATTGAATCTGTATAGAAGTTTCAGAAGTATGACCATTTTCACTATGTTGATTCTTCCTACCCAGGAGCAAGGGATGTCTTTCCATTGTCTTATATCCTCGTCAGTCTCTTTGTTAGAGTGCTGTAGTTTTTAGAGTAGAGGTCTTTGAGTTCTTTTGTTAGGTTGATTCCTAAGTATTTCAATATTTTGGATGTTATTGTGGCACGAATTGATTGCCCTATTTCTCTCTCAGTGAGTCTGTTTTTTGTGTAGGATTTTTGTGTGTTGTCCATAGTACAAGACATGATTAATAAATCTAGAGCAGGCACAGATTTTTAAAAAATACAGGAGCTGAGAAACATGATGGAATCCCAACATAGGAAACAAATGGAATCCATAAAACAGATAAAAACAGATTTCCAGGAGATTAAAAACTCCACTGAAAGTTTATGTAGCAGATCAAGCCAATGCAAGGACAGAATTTCAGATATAAAAGATAGATTGCAGTTATGACCAAGAAAAGAAAAATTTCTTAAAAATAGGAAGGGACCACACGAATCAATCCAGCAGCAGCTAGATGAAGACCGATTGGTTTCAAAGAAGAAACAGGAGAGAGTGCAGACAACATAAAAAAACTCTTCACAGAAGTAATGGCAGAAAACTTCCCAAATAGGGAAAAGAACCTGACATACAGATAAGTGAGGCCCATAGGACTCCAACTAGCCATGATCAAAAAAAAAAAAAAATTTACACATAGGCATATAATAGTTAAGATTCCAGAAACCCAGCAGAAGAACAAACTTTTACAAGCAGATAGAGAAAAGATATAAATCACATACAAAGGAAAGCCCATCTGAATCACAGAAGACTTCTCAACATAAATCTACAAGGCAAGAAGAGCATGGAGTGATACATTTCAAGCCCTAAAGGAAAACAAACTCCAACCCAGAATGATGTACCCTGCAAAACTATCTTTCCAAGTTGATGGAGAAATCAGATACTTTCATGACAAAGAGGACCTTAGGAACTTTATGAATACTAAACCAGCACTCCAAATATTTTAAACAATATCCTAGGAAAAGACAACTAGGATCACAACCCCAGGAAGCCCAGATGAATGAATCCATCAGGCATGACAGGAAATTAAATGAAAAGGGGGAAAATCCAACACAAACAGTAGTGACAAGGATAAGTCAGCACATATTTGTTATAACCATCAATATTAATGGTTTCATTCATCAATCAAAAGAAATAGACTGGCAGAATGGGTCAAGAAGCAAGATCCAATGATATGCTGCATGCAAGAAGCACAATGCAAAAAGAAACTCAATTGAAAGTTAAAGGGTGGAATATAATAACTCCATGAAGCAGAAAACCCCTAAAAACCAGGAGTAGCTATCCTGTTTGAAGATCAAGTGGATTTCAAACCAACACTGACTATATAGAGATAAAGAAGGATACTACATCCTTATAAAGGGAACAATCCAAGAGGAAGAGATGGCAGTCATAAATAGATATGCACCAAATACTAGTGCATCCAAGAAAGTTTTTAACTAGGAAAAAACAGGACCCTTCCCCCCGCTTTTTTGGGAGGGACTGAGGATCAAACTCAGGACCTTACACTTGCAAGGCAGGCAACAGCCCCACTAAGTTAAATCCCCGGCCCTAAGAAAGAGATCTTTTGACTCACCTGGTGGCTTTTTGTGAAACAGATTTAATGATATCCTATTTTGCCAGAATTTTTAAATTGCAGTTTGCCTGTAGAAAAGAATTCTACAGGGCCGGGGATTTAGCTCAGTGGTTGTGCTGCCTGCCTTGCAAGTGCAAGGACCCGAGTTCAATCCCCGGTACAAAAAAAAAAAAAAAGAAAAGAAAAGAATTCTACAGGGCCGGGGATTTAGCTCAGTGGTTGTGCTGCCTGCCTTGCAAGTGCAAGGACCCGAGTTCAATCCCCGGTACAAAAAAAAAAAAAAAGAAAAGAAAAGAATTCTACAGGGCCGGGGATTTAGCTCAGTGGTTGTGCTGCCTGCCTTGCAAGTGCAAGGACCCGAGTTCAATCCCCGGTACAAAAAAAAAAAAAAAGAAAAGAAAAGAATTCTACAGCCTTTCAAATTTAAGATCTTTTTTTTTTAAAAAAAATCATTTCCTTACATTAGAACTTACGTTGGGCTTCATTACCTTCTTTGTCCTGACACTTTTATGTTAGCCACATTTTCGTACTGGTGGATTTCACTTTTCATTGATTAGTCAAGGTAGTGAATATATGATGCCAAATTAGACAACAACAACAACAAAAAGGACAGCTGAATGTAATGTCCAGAGGAGTGATCCTCATCTAATTATCCACATGCACAGAAATTATTAAATCATTTTGCCATTGATGGTGAACATTTTAGAGCTTCAGTGATACAAATAGCCTGCTGCTATAGGCTTTGAGATTTAATTACTCTAGGGAATCAAAGGTGAGAAGGGCTCATAGATATTCAGTACAGTTTAGCTATTAATATGTACTTTGTTGTGAATGACAGAAATGCATATTCAAGCTAGTTTATACAATAAAAGGACTTTTTGTTATGATTCTGATTTACTTTCTCTGCTAGTCTGTTGGTTCTGCCTTACCTCTGGCCATTGGGTCATACTAAGATTTCTAACTGAAATTTCAAAAGAAATATTTATTTTTCCTTAAAAGCTTGTGGCTAAAAATTATAAGGTGTCTTATATATTTTTAAGAAGCCAGCGTATTTGGAGTATGGTAGTTGTTAAGATCTTTGCTTAGATGATTGTGTCTGAAATGTGTTTAAATATATAAGGAAGAAATTTAGAAGCTATAGTCATGCTTCTATATCTGTATAAATATTAGTTACACTGAACTAGTTCAGCAGGCAATATTCTAATAAAATGTTTTTGAGACAAGCTGACAAAAGAAAAATAACAAACAAAAGGAATTGTATAGGAATAACTTGAAAGGATTTCAGTATCAGACCAAGGGTAGTTCAGGATGCAACACAACAAAAATAGTTAATTCAGAAAAGCAATGTGGAATGGTGCCCTGACTCTGTGGGGTAGTATCCATTCTTGTTAGAACAGTTCCACTTATTTCTTCTTCCTGTCAAGATGTTAGGGGAAAGTATGTAGAAAAAAACCGGAAAGTGGACTTGAATGTAGTCATAAGTATAAACCAGATGTCCAAGGCCATTCTCACTATGATCTTAAAAGATTATAAGAAGAATCTCCACATTGAAATATGTTCTTCACTACAACAAACTAGTCTCAAGGCACATTTTAAAACCTACTTTTAAAATGCCTAAGCCAGACATAGTGGCACATACTTATAATTCCAGCATTCTGTGAGGCTGAAGCAGGAGAATCAAAAGTTTGAGCCCAGTCTGGCCAGTTTAGCCACTTGATAAGACCCTGTCTCAAAACACAAAAAATAAAAAATAAAATGGCTGGCAGTGTAGGTCAGTGTGAAGAACCTGGGTTCAATCTCTAGTACCCCCAAAATAAAGCAAAAATACATATATACACACTCTGTGTGTGTGTGTGTGTGTGTGTGTGTGTGTGTGGTGTGTATATATAGGGTCCACCAAAAAATTATATATCAGGAAAAGCAAAACATATAAATATTTTAATACTAAATTTAGTGAGACATCATGAGATTAATACAAGTTACCTTTCGCCTCTGCAGTTACAAGAGGTACTCAGAGTGGTGGCCATTAGCTTCCACATTTATTACAATGAAGTGCTAAGTATGTACACATATTTTGGTGAACTCTGTATACATACACTGAGGTTACTTTTCACAGAGAATTCAAAATTCTAAAATCTAATTTTGAATGATCTTCAAGAGTATTGTTGAAAGATATCAAAGTGCAGAACCGTTTATATAGACTGTAGTATGGGGATAAACAAATATCTGTATACTCTTGTGTTTAATTATATATGTACAAACCATCATGAGGAGACTACACTAAGAAACTATTCACAGTGGTTGGAAAGAAACAAGCTGTAAAAGTAAGTCCATACTCTTCTGGTATCAGGAGTTATTTTGCAGTTTCAGGATCAGAGCTTCTAAACATTTTTAAGCAGTGCATGCTTCAGAATTATAATTTGGAGATGTCACAAAGAATTCTGGTTTCACTCTTCAAAGTGTCTCTTATCTTGCTTTCAGGTAGTATAAGAAAAATCTTCCTAATCTATACCCCTAACAAAATGGTTCCACCACTCTTTGTAAAGTAATTCTTAGCATTAAGATCATCTTTTAATTAACTATATCTCAATTCCAAGTACACAGTTCTAAACTAATTACAGAGACTCAGAACTGTGCTCCCCTTTTTGAGTGGGTTTAGAGAATTTGTTCTTTTCTTTTCTCTCTTTCTCCCTTTCATGCAAAAGCAGTTCCCCAGGATAACTGCAAAAGTCTCATCAACTTCTTAACTAAACACTGAATCTCTATGGTTTGGGTAGAAAAACATCTCCCCACAAAATAACTAGATAAATGGCCTTGAAATCCTAGTGTAATTTTTCACCAGAGGACATGTTTTATAATTCATTTCTAAGATTTCTCAAAAGGTGCATTTTGTAAATTGAATGAGTTGTAATCTTCCATCAAGGAATACTCAGTTTAATTCACTCTTTTTTTAAATTCACTCTTCTTTTCAAAGATAGCTGAATTTTGATCAAATTCATTCTTGAAACTAATTAAAAGGTATGTGTTTATGCTGTCCTGTATCTTGAAACATTTGAGTATATACTGTGAAAATGTCCTTGTTTTTGCTTTGTTTCATTATATTATATAGAAAGAAGAAGGAAAGCTTCAAGGACAGCTTAGCAAGTCTGATTCTAACCAGTACATTAGGGAACTGAAAGATCAGATAGCAGAGCTGAATCATGAGGTAAGTGATAAATTTTGATCTTCACATATTTCTTCCTTCCTTCCTCTGTATTTAACAACACTTTATTATGTGTTATAAGACTGAGTCTTTCATACTAAATTTTATCTATAAATTCTTAACTGAATATAACATTTCAGAAGATTGTCTTCTTTTTAGAAGGCTCCTTCTATTCTAATATTAAGATTCACTTCCTTAGGCCATAATTATGACCTAAAATGATAGATTAATATTTTCATGGCAAATATTTTTTTATTATAGTTTGAAAACTCTGGATAGTTTTCCTGTGTATTCAATTAAACTAAATTTTGTCATGTATATAGAATAGATTTGTGGTACTTACTGTTGTGGGTAGAGGGAAGTCTTTTTCTCTTGCCTTCTTTTCCTTCTCATGGTGGTATTACTGTGATTGCAAAAAGGATACTTGCCTAATATCAGTTAACAGATTTCTTAGTATTTGGATGCTTTTTAAACTGGCATTACCTAAACTCTGTGAGATTCAATCCATAAAATTGTCAGAATTTTACCAAGTATTATGCAAATTTTAATTATTTGAATTAATGTGTTTTGATTAGGATGGTACTTTTATTAATGTGTCTCTTGGCCAATTTCTTTGTTCTTTATTATTTTCTACTGATAAATATCTAGCAATATGAATGAAAAAGTATGTTTCTCATTTTGAATTATTTATGAGATAATGTTCCTTCACAGTAATGAGGTATAAAAGTAATATAAACTTGTTTAAAAAAAGAAAAAAGGAAAGAAACTCCTTTTGGTCACTAAATGAAGTTAAACCTCAAAGGAAAAAGTTTAGACATTATCCTCCTGGTATTACACTGTTCAGTTAAGTCTGAGTGTTTTTGGGTAATACCTCGTGGAGGTAACTCAGAGTAAATTCCAATTGAAGAAGAAACAAAACATAAAATAAATCTTATATGTAGTTCAGTTTATTTTCAGATATTAAGGATCACTCATGTAAATACTAATTTTTAGCCATGTTAAAAAAATTTTGAGTTTAGAATTTTATGTATAATCTATACCTATTTGTGTGCATTTTTATGTTTTTACCTAAGCTGTGTATAAAAGAACAAGTTACAAATAAGGATTTGTAAGGATTTCTGGAAATCCTTATTCTTTTGAAAACCCTAGTAATTATTCTTGTGTTCAAAAGTTGTTCTCAGCCAAACATAGTAGCTTACACCTTTAATTTCAGCAACTCAGAAACCTGAGCCAGGAGGTTGACAAGTTCAAGGCCAGTCTGTAAAGTTTACTAAGTGAGATCTTGTCTCAAAATAAAAGTTAAAAGGTCTGGTAGTTTAGTGGTAGTGCACTGGCCTAGAGGTGTTGCATTCATCCTGGAGCACTCCCACCCCTCCAAAAAGTGTTCTCAAAAGTAACTGACTAAAATAAAGCAAGCTACCATTTAAATTTTTGAGGTCTAATGTTAGGAAGTTTTAATGTTGCTAAAAGAATTGTATCTTGGTTGACTTTTTTTAACTAGGCAACGAATAAGTCAGTGGATATTTGTTTTGTTTGCCACGTGACAACTAAAAATATTTTCTTCATTAAAATTAGCAGAAAATAATTGACATGATGGGCCAGGTGTGGTGACATACACCTAAAATTCCAGCCCTCAGAGGCAGAAGCAGGAAGATCGCTTCAAGTTCAAGGCCGGCCGGGGCTACATAGTGAGACCCTGTCTCAAAAAACATAAAAAGAAAAGAAAAGAATTCACATGAATTATTTTGGATTTTAAAAATTTGTTTTGAATTTTTTTCAATGTGGGACTTTTGAAAGCAATTACTATGTACAAACATGAAAACTAATTAACAGGGTAAAATTTGCTACTGTGAAAGAGCCAGATCATACAGATTAAAGACTAGAACAGTTTGTGATGAGATGCTAATTTTGTAGTTAGGAGGAGCCAAAGTTCTGGGTTTAAGTAGGCCCCAGTCAGAAGCCATGGGAAAGAGCTAAGAGGAGTATAGTGCAGCTCTGTAACACACACATGAGGGTTCAGAGGTGAATGAAAATATGAGATTAGAAGTTTAGAGGAACCAGAGTCTACTGAAGGATTAATGTAACAAGTAGCAGAAAGTAAGAATAGACTGAGTAGAATCATACTGGGTGAATCTTGAAAGTTAAAGGAGATTGAATTTACAAGGTACTTATATAACTATTAAGGGTATATAGTTGGGAATTATTTTTCCTTGTTTCCTGAGGATATTTTAAAGTTTTATCACTAAAGAGAACATAAATGACAAGTGAAAAAATTTTTAAACCAGGATACTGGTTGTAGTAAACTTATTGCTATTATAATTACTATTACATTGTCAGATCAGCTTTTTTAAGGGGGTTAAATACAGTGTCACCTTTTTATTCCATTATTTTCATACTTTGATAGAGCCTGTCAAAATTTTTAAAAACAATCACAATCCTTCTAATCTCAATTTATCCTTTGTCCATATGTTAGAATTTGGCAGAATATTTGATTTTCAATATGAAAATTTACATGGAAATATAATACAGTATTTTATTTGAACATGTGACTACTAATACTTTTTTAGCTGTGTTTTGTACTTCTCTAAATGTTTTTTTGTTTTGTTTTATTTTTTGTACCGGGGATTGAATTTAGATCCTTGCGCTTGTGAGGCAGGTGCCCGAACCACTGAGCTAATCGGGCCGCATGTACTTCTCTAAATGTTTAAGGAAATGTTGACAGAAACTTTGTAGATTCTTAAAGATACAACAGTGTTGCACATTTCAACAACAAGCCACACCCTCAGCATAGTCAGCTGTATGAAGTACTGGAGACTAAGTGGTCAGACACAACACACTTCATGTTATTACTGACCCTGAGATGCACATGGATGTGGAAACCGGCATGCACCTCACCTCTTTTCAAGCATTATACAAGCAATAAATGGTTGGGCCAAGATCAAATCTAGATTGCCCTGTTCTTTTAGAACAGAAAAATTGTCTCATCTGTGTCTAAAATCTTAGGGGATGACAATACAAAGTATTTTAATTGTTGTTTTCCTTGACACATAAATTTGCATACATTCCATAAGGACATTCTACAATTGATGTAGCCACAAGAACTCTCTCCCTGGTCGCATTGAAAATGAGATTTAGCTTTACATCTTGCTGTACACTGTGATCTATCCTAGTGCCTTCTTACTCAAAGCCCTGCACTTCTTCATTACCCAACTGGCTTTTCTTCTAATTCTACCTACTTCCCATGACAATTTTAAAATCTGGAGTGTGCTGAATTTTGTCAAAACCTTTACAGAAGCCATTGTATGAAAACTCTTGCTTCCCTAGACCCAGCAAGAGTGGAGGCTACCCTACTTCCTACCTCTTGTCTCCAGAGGAAAGAACCAGGTTCTTCAGTTCAACCCACCTATCTTTTCGGCTATCATCAGAGTACCTACTGTATACTAGGCCCTGGATCTAGAACTAAAAGATTGAAGCACAACTCTCAAGGGCCTCAAGATCTATAGTAGAAATAGGTATGTGAATAAACTGAAAAGAAGAGTAGTATAGTAGCTATAATTTATTGTTCTGTGCCAGATACAGTACTGTTATATTTCTGTTATGTATTTCTTTAATCTTTGCAACGGTCCTTTGAAAGAAAGTAGCATCATTGTCGTTCATAGTTTAAATGTGATAAAACTTAGGTTCCTAGGGTATTAAATGGCTCCCCACAGTCATACTCCAGTCAAGGGCTGAGGTAGGATTTTGTTTTGTGTGTTGTTGTTGTTTTAGTTCAGGCTATATGATTCCCAGTCCATGTACTGCAAACCCAACCACAATATGCTATACAGCCTCTTTGGAAATACAAGTCTAAGATTCTAACAATATCTGGACTGGGTTTTAAGAGCTGAGGATTTAGCTCAGTGGCACTGTGCCTGTCTTGCAAGCACAAGGTCTTGAGTTCAATCCCCAGTACCACCAAAAAAAAAAAAAAAAAAAAAATCTTAAAAAATGAAAAGAAGTTTTTCAGGCAAATTGTGCATTTGGAGCATTAAGTCAGTAACATGAAACAAAATTATAGGTTCCAGGAATTAATAAGCCACCTACCTTTGCAGTGTAGTACTATCTTCTTACAGCTGCTGCTCATTAAAAACACATAAATTGTACATGTGGTAAAGGGAGATTAAAAAAAGTAAATGTTCTGGTTTAGAATCCAGCTTGGGAAATTAATCTTATGATTCAACCAAATCTACCAGTTAACTAGACTTTTCTGGTCATTTGGAGCTTTATCATTCACAGTATTGTTTTATGGGAAAATGAATACTGACCAATTAATTTGAAAATGTTTTTAGACTACAGATAGTGTTTTCATTTATTTTTAATGGTAATGTGATAATTGTAGTACTGTGGATATTCTGGGAATAAATTTATTCCAGACAAAGGATAATTCACTTATTACTAAAAATTGAAGCTAGGCATGGTGGTACAAGCCTGTAATCTCAACATTCAGGAGGCTAAGGCAAGGGGAATGCTCAGAGTTTAGGCTAGCCTAGGCTGCATAGTGCGTTCAAGGCCATCCTGGTCTATGTAGCAAGATCCTGTCTCAAAACACAGAGAGGAGTAGGAGAAAGAAGGGAAAATAAAAATATTTCTCCATTGAACAGCTTTGCTGAATTTTATGTCTTTTTTTGGTTTTTTTTTTTTGGTACCAGGGATCGAACTTGGGTCCTTGCGCTTGGGAGGCAGGCCACCAAACCGCTGAGCTAAATCCCAAATTTTATGTCTTAATACAATAGTTTTATTGTGTTTTATGTCCTCACAATTGCATAAAAGTAGTTCTATTTCCATTTTCTTAGTAGCTTTTCTATCTAGACCACATTTTATTTTTCTCTCTAAAGTCCTATTTTATTCTATACAGAGTAAATTTTCTGTATTTCTAGTTTTCTGTGTGGTAGCTACTGAGCCAGGTGTGGATCCTTTAGATAATTATTTTAATCATAATTATCCTACAAGAATTATTTCGGGAG